TTGACGGATGCTCTTCGAGTCTCTTTGATACCGCTGAATACAAATAGCATGGCTGCGAGGTATCTCATGCTTGTGTTTTTGGAAATACTTGGCCACTTCCTCTGGAGAGTGGTCATCTAGATACCTAATAGGACATCTGGGAACAGCGTCTTGCACCGAGCAAGACCGAGTACCCTGGAGAGATTCAGCTTTGATAGGGTCTAGGTCATGCGCGCAAGTATCTGAACTTTGGTTCGCCAACTTAGGTGCAGGCCCAGTGCCATTCGGAATTGCAAAGGGACAACGAAGGTTACCTTGCACACCCTTGACAGTGAAATCATGCTCAAGAGAAGACCTAGCTTTCGCATCCACCGCAACGAGACACGTATTGTTATTTTGATGATACCCATCGCGCGTAATGCGTCTATCGGCCAAGTTTCGGTAGGCTTCAAGTCCTTTGGCGATAACGTCGAGCTCTGAAGTTGTGATGTAGCCAGCTTTCTCTACATCGTAAATCCACCCTGTGTGGTCTGCGGGTGTATCGCAGTTGGATTTTTCAAAAGGAACAGGATATATCTTTTCAGCTATTTCTGTTTCAGTGCCAGAGCGGTTGGGCAGCTGGCTGGCAAGTTTCAAGTACTGGTTCATCATCACGTCAGTTAATGGTACTTCGATAGTTGGATGTAATGAAGTAGTGATAAAGGGTATGCCAAAATCAGCTAATACATGCAAGTGAATCAGTCACCGCCGCAAGTTTGCGGCTTCTGATCTAGAGCTAATAAAGATTGTCTCATCACGCAAGGCAAGGGAACAGGTGAGGATGAAGGATTGCAAGCAACAAAAAGAGACACAGGTAACATACCTCATTATGAGCAAACTGGAGTTTGTTCCACAACTCTCTTTCTTGCCATGCTAGTTTCTGGATCGTGTCAATAAGCGTATCAAAGCCCCTGGCCAGAGCTATGATCTCTTTCCTTTGCTCATTCTTCTCTGAGGTTCGAGCGGGAGACATTCTACAAAACCCCAACAATTAAGAGTGGTTGACAACAGTGCATTGAGCAGCGGGAGAAACAAACCCACTAGTCACATATGGATTGCTACCCTTTTTTCAAGGAATCAACTTTGCACAGAATTCGGGAGGGATAAAATAGAGAAGAAGACAAAGAGAAGAGAAATCAGAGATGGTTCTTGATGGGAAAATGCCTGGAAGCTAGCCAGGTTAAGCAATGTGGTCTGTGCACCTGTGTTCGGCGAACACATCACATGATTTATGCCGTTCGTCCCAGATCACGTGCCGCAGAGGAAAAAAAGCTGCTGTTTTATGAAATTTCCAGGATGAGCAGCAGGAGAAAGAGAATAATAAATAACACAGGCACTTGACCACTTATTGTAGAGTGTATGTAGAGTACTGGGGGAAACGCTGAATGGACAGGAACATAATTGAGTTGGCTTTTAAGTTTTAGATCTACAGCTAAGAGCTCTATAAAGCGTATACTGATTTCTTATTTTATTTGCTGTTTTCGTCCAGGCTGGCTACAACACGCATCCCTTTCCTTCCCCTCCTCTCTCCCCTTCACTCTCTTTCACTCTCTTTCACTCTCTTTTTCTTGCTCTCTCTCCCTATATATATCTCCCTCTTTCTCTCCTCCTTTCCCCCCCTTCTCTCTCATTTCCTCACTACTCGTTCTCCTCAAGTATGAGTCTTCCTACCTCAAACCTTCCCACATCCAAGCATAGCGATGCCACCACCACCCAAGACGCCCCCCACCCCCCCACCAATACCTCCGCCGCCGCCGAACTCACCAGTCTTAAGATAAGGCTGCGCGGTGCACTGCGTCAGTTCCCAGACTTCCCCTCCAAGGGTATCTTATTCGAAGATATCCTCCCGATCTTTGCAGACGCCTCTCTCCACGAAGCCCTGATAAGGTGTTTGGAACTACATATTATCGAAACATATGGACATGACCAGAAACCGGATGTAATCGTTGGTTTGGAAGCCAGGGGGTTCTTGTTCGGACCATCACTGGCGCTGAGATTGGGAGCCGCGTTTGTGCCAGTGAGGAAGAAGGGCAAGCTCCCTGGGCCCGTCGAAACGGAAACCTATCAGAAGGAGTACGGTCAGGATTTCTTTCAGATGCAGGTAGGCTCTATCAAACCTGGGCAGAAGGTTGTTGTGGTGGATGACATTATAGCGACAGGTATGTGCTTCTTTTATACGATTTTTCTTCCTTTCTCCCCCCTGGTACATCCTTTTACGCCCGACAGCATGTTGCACTTTTGCACATTATACGTATCCACCCACGTATACCCTTCGCGTGTTAAAATATAGTATCTAGTATTAATTCAGAGAACTCCCTACACAGGCGGATCCGCATGTGCAGCTGGAACGCTTGTTCAAAAGCTAGGAGGAACGCTGCTCGGCTTTATCTTCATGCTTGAGCTTGACTTCCTCAAGGGACGTGAAAAGCTCCCTGCTCCGACATACACGCTCCTCTCGACACAATAATTCCTTCTGCCATTTAACATTGAAAAGCCTTGCTACGCTCAACCGTGCCTTGATTGATACACGTTTGATCTTCGTTTTATTTTCCAGAAAATGAGAAATGACAAAAAAAACTAAAATCAACCATGAAAAAGATGACATAATTACACGGATGATACCATACCGGTGGAGGATTTTCCTTATTTCAAACGCAGAAAAAGATTATGCAGCCCTAATATCTCTGATAGACCTAGCTTTGCTGCCACTCGATTTTTTTTTTTTTTTTTTTTTTTGTTCATCATGACTTCTTGAGCTTGATCCCACATCATGCATGTCTTGTTTTTATGAAATCTCCCCTTTTTACCCAGTCCGTGCTGCCACCCATAATAATATATTCCATGGCCGTTCTCCAATTTTTCTTTGTTTTATGCGACTTCCTGTCCCAGATGGCCGTCGAGGCGAGAATATGCGTTCGAAGCCATAAATAATAATGCCAATTTCCAAAAAGCATTCTCTAACAAACTGTTCTTCTTCTGCCTCGAACTAATGCATCAATTGGAGCTAAAACTTTCCGAGAGAATAGGCCATTGCACTATACATCAAATCTGGTCTCTATCTTCAAATCTCTTCCTGCTTTGTGAGACAGGAGGGTTATTTCTTACGAGTAGTATCTTATCTGTCTCCAATCGGCTTAACAAGAGGAAATATTGCACATGTTTCACAACCTGCCCAGCTGAGTCACAACCAACGACCTTCCATACAGTAACAATGATAATCATTCACCTGTGCGGAACGATCAGACATTTCGAAGCTCATCCGTCAATGGCTGTTACAGAGATATTTCTGGATTCTAGAACAATATGAACAGGAAGTCAAGGAACACTGCGGCTGAGACAAACGTTGCCGCGCCCAACCCACGTGCCCAGCCATTTGAACCTGCTCTCCTATCTCCCAATGCTTCTATTTTATATATGCAATGCAATGGCTATTCAAGCATCCCCCCACAGTCTATGTTTCCTAAAAAAAGAAAGAAAGAAAGAAACCCAAAAACTGTCTGTTGTACTCGTTCCCGCCGGGATAACTAGCTAGGATTCGGGCTCGCCACCTAGACTTCGGCTTAATTCTGCATAGTTCTGCAAAGCCTAGCTCTAGATTGTGCCCTCCCCAGCTGTTGCAAGCTCCTAAGAACATATCAGTGGGACTGATGATATAGCTTATTTTGAGTGTGTCAATCATAGAACATCCAGGCTGCAGGTATGTATTTAGGTCTACAGAGTTGAAGATGCTGTCATCACCCATTTACAATATATATAATAACAAGGAAAACAACTGTGGATTTTGTAAATTACTCTTAGATCTTAACAGAGCCTGTTACTGTAGCTATATATGTGTATGTGTACAAGGTGTTTATCTTTTCACATAACCTGGCTTAATTTAAATTACCATCAATTTGCCTTAAAAACTGCAAGTTATCAACAAATAAATTTATCATATTTTGGGGATATATAAGAGGATGACTACTGTTGTTACAGGAATAACTATAAGAAAAGATTTTACCCTCTAGCCCCTCTGAAACAGAACGGACCGAATTCCAAGGATAGTCCATTAATGAATTAATGATACTTGAAACTCATCCAAGATAAGCACGACTTTTCAAGGATGCATGGACGTGAGATACCAAACCGCTGCTGCTAGGCTACTAGATAACTAACGGCCTTCATCACAAGCCAGCACTAGCAACTCATGTTCAACATATCCTGTGGCAGATATTATACGTAAAATGGATTTCGCTGTGTCCCAATTCAGATGTCAAGAAGAATCTCCCAAGCAAGGATATAAATAGACTAACTATACCTGCATTTTCACTGACAGAAACCGAGTGGAAGGAGAGGCAACTTTCGATCTAATGTATTAACAGTGCGTAACTTCTTCGTAGATAACTGTGTATACTACTGTGTAGTTTATCCATTGGGGATATTTCGAAACTGGGTTAATGCACAGTTGATGTGGACTAGATGGGGGAAGGGCGGCACAAACTGTCTCCTCTGCCGACTAGCCGAACTCTATTTGCCTATCTATTGGCTGAGGTGCTTCCATAGCCGCGCTAAGGACGCTATTTGAGCCGGTGGCGACTCTTCCAAGGTTCTCGAGGTCCTGCCGCAGTGCGTGCCGCCCAGTATCGAAAGGTTTGAACCCGGCTATTGAGGGGTTCGCTTATCAATCCCGGTTCCGATGTGCCGGCGCGACGCTTTGCTGCCGGCTAGTGCATCGTCTCTATTTTGTCCGAGAAGAAACACCACTCACAAACCTGAGCTAGCCTTTATGAAAATATCTTGTCTCTCCCTCCTCCATCCCTTGTCCACTTCTAGTGAACAAAATACTAGCTCTCATGCGTACCCCTCTCCGTATCGCCGTGCTTGAATGCGACGTTCCCCTGGACCAAACAAAGTCCAAATACAAGGACTACAGCGGGGTATTCGAAGACCTATTCTGCTCCAGCGCCAAACTGTTAAATCAGCCCGACAAACTCGATCCGGCCACGGGGCTTGAGATCTCAAAGTGGGATGTCGTGGAGGGCGATAAATACCCGAACCTGGAGGACGTTGATGCCGTGTTGATAACTGGATCCAGTAAGTATAAAAAAATATTGATTTTATTTGCCACTCCCCGGCAATGATGATCCTGATCAACGAGCTGAGAAATTGCACAGGACATAATTCCTACGACGATATTCCTTGGATAAACAGACTAGTCGAATTCACATCCAAGGTCCTCGCGCAGGATCGGGTCCGCATCATCGGTGTGTGTTTCGGCCACCAAATCCTCGGAAGGGCACTGGGGGCAAAGGTCGGCCCTAATGAGCGTGGCTGGGAGGTTGCAGTGCATGAAATGGACCTCACAGATAAGGGGAAGGAGCTATTTGGCGTTACCAAATTGGTAGGTGGATCCTTTTTTTCCTTTCCCCTTCGTCTCTTTTATTTATCTTCCCCCCTTTCTTAAAATGTTCAGCAATGCTTCCAATCAAACCTAAGATCTGCCTATTAACCAAAAACCCCCAAAACAGCGCCTTCAGCAAATGCATCGCGACATAGTCCATTACTGCCCTCCGAACGTTGCTCTGCTGGGCTCCTCCCCAGTTTGCGATGTACAAGGCATGTATTCTCCCGGCCGGTTTATATCCGTCCAAGGTCATCCCGAATTCACCAAGGACATTGTGGCAGAGATTCTTCATGCGAGGCGGGATGCGGGAATCTTTCCCACGGGGATCTATGAGGGTGGATTGGCTACTGTTGGGAATGAACATGACGGCCTAGTAGTTGGGAAGACGTTTTTGGAATTCTTGATCCACTGATGAGAGATGAGTGATGAGCAGCGAGGGCTTTCGTGAGGTTGTGAACCCGCCACACGCTGAGAGGAACATGACATAGATATCCATGGATCAGAATTAGATGCTCTTATACATCCCTGGTCTGGCTCCATTGCCGAATATTGTTTTTAAATTCCATGTTTATAGATACCTAGATATTTAAATGCATTGTCCTGTGCTGTACAGCAAACTATGATAGGTAGGTTAAAAGGAAATTATTTTACTTTCCACAATGCAGCTTCCTCGTCTGACCATATGCACATGTATTCATTCAATGTTGGCTCTCCAATATCCAGCTTTACCAACCCTTCAAATGCGGAGGGGTGCACCTAAAATAAGACAGAATGCTATGTCTGCCCTTCGTGCGATATAATGAAGGTCTGCAACGTAATCCATAAACCCGTGGTCCGTAATCCCGCCATTCGAAAACTCACGGAACCCCAGAGCCTTGCTCAAACGGACTTATTAAGACAGGGGAATAAAAAGGAAATACAAAGGGATTACACAGTATCAGGCCTCTCCAAAAATCCCGGATCAGAATCAATCCTGCTCTCGAACTTCGTCCACCAATCCCTAAACACTCTCAACGGCACAACCTCCTCACCCGGCGCCCTGGGATCCGTAGCCGCAAAGCTAGCCAAATAATTAAACGCATTACCAATAATCCGCTGCGCAAGTGTTTTGGTCGAGGGTGCCGACGACCACTTAGTCACCACCCCCGCGCCCTGTTGGCCCGCGGACATCTTCACTAGATCCACCGAGGACGGGAAAGACGATCTTTGCAGCTGGTTCTGGCCCTGGTTTTGCAGGTCTGTCATCTTCGACGCTACGGCCTGCACGGGTTCGATGGTGATGCCTAGCGTTATCGTCGCGTTGGGGTTTATCTCCGCTGGGTTGGCGGGGACGGTGGCGCCTTCGTCCATCATTTCATCTTCCTCTTCTGCCTCCGTGCGTCGACGGGCGGAGGGGAAACTGACCCTGAAGATGGCGGAGGGTTTCTCATTGGCGATTGCGCCCAGGAATTTAAATTCCGGGGCCGCGCTAGTCGCGGTAGTTGTGTTGGTAGGGTTGAGGATGAGGTCCTTTGGGAATTGGATGTAGACCGCTGCTGCGGTGTCCGGGGGCAAAACGACACCGGGCAGGAGGAAGATGACTATGTGCGAGAACTTGGGGAGGGCGGGAAAGGTGAAGGCGAAGTTGTTTGCGGGGACGGTGGGGTCTGAGGACAAGGGGACCACGTCGGTGAGGCAGGGCCGGCTGGGGAGGACGACGGAGAACATCGCTGGTGTTGTCCGTAGATGAGCTGGTCATATGCATAAACCTCGTCAGGGTATGGGTTTGTATATATATAATATATAAGTTCTGCTATAGCGGATTTAATTTTAGTTCGGCAATGGATATGTTGTTTCGAAAGGGCGCAACCATGGGAAGCTTATTTTGTTTCTCAGATCGATGACGTCCTGGCTCAGGAAATTAATCTCGCGTGTCGATCCAGGGTTGTTTCTGATATATGAAGCATTCTTAGCGAGTGACTCTGTGTATGTTCCTTGAAATAGAGAAGATTGGCAATATCAATAGAAATTATCTCGTAGATTCCCATCGAATTGTCTGCGACTGCGATCTCCGAGCTGTATCCCCACAACTATGTTGGAGCTACTACACAAGCCCTAACCCACGTGACCCACACACATATATTTAGCTTTCACTAGCTACTAGTTAAACAACAATCAACCATGTTCAACCTCTCTCACAGGTTATGAAGCCCTTGCACTTCTACGAAGCATTATAACCATGCAATAATCATACAATAAGCTTTTCAAATAGCTGCTTCTTTCATTCAAATACCCCATGCCAAATGCCTGTCAATATGAGATTGATCAACCGCGAAGAGACTACAGAGAATCAGATAGCTGGATCCTTTTCAACACCAATAACCGCGCGAAGACAACGCAATAATCAAGCCCAAGATAATCCTCCAGAACGCGAAGATATGAAAGATCATGATGAACCAAGCTGCTGGTTTGAACACCCAGAGAAATGACCTGCAGATTGAAAGAATAGAAAGAAGGACAATGATGATGATGCTGCTACACCTGTATGCTACAATCCTGAGCAAGTCTTCTAATGATGCTCATGATGACCGCCAATATCGACGCCAAAACGATGGAAATACCGATAACGATGCCAGGCCACAGTGCCTATATGATGCCAGGCCCCAGTGCCTACGATGCCCATACCGATGACCATGATGCCAGGCCACAGTGCCTACGATGCCCATACCGATGACCATGATGCCAGGCCACAGTGCCTACGATGCCAGGCCCCAGTGCCTATATGATGCCAGGCCACAGTGCCTATATGATGCCAAGCCCCAGTCCCTATATGATGCCAGGCCCCAGTGCCTATATGATGCCAGGCCACAGTGCCTACGATGCCAGGCCCCAGTGCCTATATGATGCCAGGCCACAGTGCCTACGATGCCAAGCCCCAGTGCCTATATGATGCCAGGCCCCAGTGCCTACGATGCCAGGCCCCAGTGCCTATATGATGCCAGGCCACAGTGCCTACGATGCCAGGCCCCAGTGCCTATATGATGCCGGGCCACCGATTGCCCATATGATGACCTATGCCGATGACCTATGCCGATGACCTATGCCGATGACCTATGCCTATGCCTATGACGATGAAAACCACAAAAATAATGAGAATGAGATCCCGCGGCGTTAGAACGACTGGGGGTAATACCAATACTGAAAGGACGGTCACAAACTAGTCTAGCGGCTTCTAGTGGCTGACTAAGCATATCCTCGCCGTTGCCAATCAGAAAGAGCCTGTGAAAGATTTCTGAGTGACGAAATTCTCTACACACACTCTGAACCGCATCCAGCTTAATGTTGTTCACCATCATTTATTATTTTGTATGTACTTTGCGATTGAGTTCTTAAGATATGTGTAAGATCACCTATGCGTTTTTAATTTAGATTAAGAGACCTAAGCATTCCGGTGTCATAATCCTCCCCCCGCCCATACGAGCAGAAGAAATAGAAATAAAAACAACAAAGAAATATCAATTCATCGATTAATCAAATCCATAGTAGTTAATAACATTGCCAAAAACGATGAAGGTCACCCTTTATAGAACTTAGTCGGCACAAATGGCGTCGCCGCAACAGTACCCTTGCGCACTTTCTTCCTAACCAGAACACCTACCTCGGTCCCCTTTTTATGGAACCCCTGCTTCACATATCCTAACGCGATATTCGCCCCGCCCAGTGTAGGGCTTGGCATACCAGACGTCACAACCCCAATTTGCGTCGTGCCATCTGCCATGTCAACAATCAGTGCACCTTCGCGCGCTGGCGGTCCAGACTCGATGGTTAGGCCAACACGACGCTCCGTGAGAGTCCTGGCGGGCGATGCAAGCTGTGGCAGGATGACCGAGGCGCCGTTGAAGCCAGAGGAAGGGGACGATGGGTCGCGCCTGTCTTTGCCAACGAGCCACCCGAGGCCTGCTGTGGGAGGGGTTTGTGCGGATGTTATGTCATGGCCGTATAGACACATTCCTGCTTCGAGACGGAGGGAGTCGCGGGCAGCAAGGCCGGCAAGGCGGACGTCAGGGTTGGAGAGGAGGAGTTCACAGACCCTCATAGGCAGCTGTGCGTCGGTGTCTGTAGGGATGGAGATTTCGAAGCCATCTTCGCCCGTGTAGCCTGTTCGGGAAACGAGGAGGCGGGATGGAGAGTGTGTTCCATCTGGGAAACTGATGTGGAGAGAGCGGCATTGGCCGAAGTGAAGGGTGCTGAGGTCCGAGTCTATGGAGGCTTCACCAGGTGTGATGAGGGATTGGAGGATGGATGCGCTTAGGGGACCTTGGAGTGCGACTAGAGCACGGTTATCGAGGATTGACCAGTTGATGACGGATTCGCGGGAGGAAGGGTCATGCGTCTGTCTGAATTCCTCAATTTCTTTCTCGAGAAATTCTAAATCTTCCTTGCGGCGGCCAGCGTTTGTGACTAAGTAAAATGATTCGGGGCCCAAGCGGGTGATGACGGTATCATCAAGTATGCCCCCGGTTTCTCTATCGAGGAAGCAGGATAACGTGGAGCAGTTATCTTGTAAAAGATTCAAGGACGAAGGGGTAATTTTCATGAGAAGGTCAAGAGCTCCAGGGCCGCGAATATGGTGCTGAACCCTAGGGTGTATTTGTTAGTTTTGCGATATACTAGAGAAGATCGAAACAGATATAAAATCAATGCTGGCTGAATAACATACATATGGCTCACATCAAACAAGCTGGCCTTGTTTCTTGTCCAGTGGTGACTTTCAGCATGGCTCAAATCGCCGTATACCAATGGCATGGAGAACCCGGCAAAGGAAGCCATCTTGGCCTTGTGTGCCGCATGAAGATCATAGAGCTGGGTCTTCTTCAATGCAGATGCAGCAGACGAGGATGAAGAGAAGTTCAACCTTGCGCCTGCCTGATGAAGGGAAGCGTTGACTTGATAGAACAATGGCACGCAACCGGGACGGGAAGTGTTGGTGATTGTGCGGAGAGCGGCCTGCGGCTGTGATCGGGCGTGAGAGCTCAACAATCTGGAGCCATTGGCAGTTCTGAAGACGGGTGTGGCATATCCAGACCGTAGCCGTAAGACAGTGGTCCCTTTCAGAAGGGAACGGGCAGTTAATGGCTTCATGGTGGAACGTATGCCAACCTGCAGTTTGACAACAAATGAAGGTTGAGAGTTGGGGGAAGTTTTGGCGGGGGGCAGATCCCGGGGCAGAGGTCCAGGTCACGTGTTGATAAGGTCTCGGGCGAGACAAGACGGCTTCTGGAATGAGACGCGACCGACCAGTGCGGTCTTGGCATTTCCGGAAAGCCGCTACAGCCGCCGAGCCTCATTAGCCCGGAGTGTTTGCGGGCAATTGGCGAAGCAGGAGATCCGGGAGCCGCTAGTCTACCCTGGGACTAGTGGCGGATATGAAGTGTCCCCCCCGCGAATAAGCGCGCGGAACCAATTCCGTACGGATCTTGGGGCAGCTCCTACTTGCTATCAAGATCTCCGAGAGTTCCCAACTTTAATCTTCTGCCGTACCAGTCAGTGTACATGTAAATGTACTTGTCCATGTTCTGTAGGTATCGCAACCATAGGCATAGGCTCACTTTTATCAGATATTTCTCCTCCTTGACCATGGCATCTTCCTGGCTTCACATTCCCAAGGAATCTCCTTTCTCGCTAGCAAACATCCCTTTCGGAATCATCTCCACTACTGCCTCACCTAATCCTCGCCCAGCAGTCGCAATTGGTGATCATGCCCTAGATCTCTTCGTCTTCTCTTCCGGCGGCGGCTTTTCCCAGTTGTCGTCCTTTCAGCAACACCTTGACGTGTTTGCCCAGCCGACATTGAACGATTTTGCAGCTCTTGGTCGACCTGTTCACCGCCAGGTGCGGGAATATCTGCAGGCGGTTTTCAAAGAGGACACTCCCTTCCCGGAGGTCCTTAAAGCAAACGAGAATCTTAAGCAATCAGCACTGGTTCTGCGAAAAGATGCCACTAACCATCTTCCCCTGAGCATTGGTGATTACACAGACTTCTATGCGGGCCTCAATCATGCTTACAACGTGGGAGTTCTGTTCCGTGGGCCCGACAACGCCCTCCAGCCAAATTACAAACACCTGCCTGTCGGCTATCACGGACGAGCGTCATCCGTCATCCTCTCCGGACAGCCTATCCGGCGACCCAATGGACAAATTCTCGCCAATCCAGCTGCTACCCCCAAGGAACCTATCTTCTCTCCTTGCAAAAAACTAGACATCGAACTCGAGCTGGCCGTCTTCGTCGCCCAAGGCAACAAGCTAGGCGAACCCATACCCATCGACAAAGCCGAGGATCATCTCTTCGGCGTTGTGCTGATGAACGACTGGTCTGCACGGGACATCCAGGCCTGGGAATACGTGCCACTGGGCCCCTTCAATGCGAAGAACTTCGCCACCACCATCACGCCCTGGGTGGTCCTGATGGATGCCTTGGAGCCATTCCGCGCACAGGGCCTGGAGCCCGGCAACCCGCTGCTCCCATATCTGCAGGAGAAAAAGGCGGAGAATGTATATGATATCCCGCTGGAAGTGCATCTTGTCGCAAACGGCAAGGTCACCAAGATTGCCGAGTCGAACTCGAAAAACCTGCTCTACTCCTTCTCGCAGATGTTGGCTCATCATTCGATTACAGGATGTAACATGCGGACTGGCGATCTTTTGGGCAGCGGGACGATCTCTGGCGACAGATCGGGAACTCTGGGGAGTTTGTTGGAGAACACCAACGGTGGAAAGAATCCGATTAGACTTGCTGATGGGTCTGAGCGGGTTTTCTTACAGGATGGCGATGAGGTTATTCTGCGTGGTGCATGCGGGAAGGAGGGGAGTTATGTTGGCTTCGGCGATTGCACTGGCGTTATAATTCCAGCTCCTCAAATCTAGGTACGATGGCGATAATGTTCTGAATCATATGGTTACTTTATACAATTTGTAACAAGGAATAGTTATTCATAAAACAATTTAAAACCTTGACTATGTATAGTCATGTGAAAAGTAAACATAGAAGGAGCTAGCTAAGCAGTATTACTAGACCTAGTTCTTCTTAAAGTAGTTCTTGCTTCTTTCTCTCTTTGTTTCTATTGTTAAGAGTAAATTTCTTTCTTAATATGATGTTTACTGACTTCTTTATTTTTCTTCAAGAATTCAATTTCTGTTTTCTTTCATAGTTAAAAATAATAAAATAATAAAATCAGATTTTTTGATAATTTTTCTGTAAAAGGTGTTGGTTGATTACTACTGTGGAATGGTTAATCCGTTGTATTCGTGTAGGAAGAGCTAGCTATATATATATTACATATGAGATCACGTGTAGGCGGAGTGGTCGCTACGGCAATGCCACTAGGGCAGATGCTACACCCCCTCTCACATCACCATGTAAGATCATAAATAAAATATCTTAATGCACACGAGCCTCTGTGTACAAAGACATTGCAGAGCTAAGCTCAAAACAGAAGACTCTGCAAGATTGATTTTACAGCTTATTAATAGAAGAGATAGAACTGTAACTATAGTAAAAGCATATCTGTAAAGTGAAATAAGATTGACTTGAGAATGAGTTAAATAATAATATAGATAATTGATGAAAGACTGAAGAGAGATCTGCAGAACTAAGAGATAAATTAATTATCAAAGATAATGACTGCAGCTGTTTTCTTAATTAAGTTAAGAATAAAGTTAATAAGAGATGTTCTCTATAATATCTGATAATACAGTAAGCTCTTTGAATAATAGTTTTCTTTTTACAGACTGCTGTTAATAAAGATATATCAGAACTATAAATCTTATAGTGATAAAACTTAATCTCTGATAATATATCTGTTTCAATAGACTGTTCACAGACTTAAGAGACTACTATTAATTATATGAAGTGTTAATATATCTAGAATAATAGAGAGAGTTCAGACTTATTTATTATAGAATCTATAACTGTAGAAGAATTTAATTTTACTATATATATTCATTTACAGTTCTACACAGTATAAAGAGATAATCAGTGATAGAAAAGATGTAATAAGAGAAGATTACAATATCTAAGTTCTCTGAGTGTGATATTGAAGACAGATAGCTGTAGAAGTAGTAGAACACTGTAAAGAAATAAATTAATTAAGAGACTGATTTTACAAGTAGTGAACACAGGCTTTTGATACATTATTCATTCTTGAGAATCTATGAGAGGTGGTTGATAAGATGCATAATCTATTATTCAAGAATCTGTACAGAGTAGATAATATGATAGTGCAATGTCACAGAATTGCACTTCACTTAATTCTACATCAATCAGTGAGCTGTATTCGCGCCAAGAACTTCAAAAAGGAAATTCTTCACTTTTAATGATCAGGGTTTTCATTATATATTTACTTCGCTTCACTCTGTAAATTATAATAAAGAATCAATCATCTCTTACAAATCTAGCTATGTCATTCTCAAATTCATTCAAATCATGCTATCTGCATTGAGTTTGTGTATTCTGTCTCTCTTCATCTGTAAAACCTAGTAAATCTAGAAATAAATGAAATGTAATTATACTCAAGAGTTTAGTTAATTCATCTACTATCATTTCTTCAGTTAAAATGTAATTAATTGAGATTATATCATTGTTTAACTGACTGTAAGTGTAATAAAATCAGATATTAATATACTTGCTTTTTATAATGATTACAGTCACTATGACAAGATCAATTATCTTCTTATTATTTATCTTAATTAATAGAAGATCTTCTATTTCAATAAAGCTCAGATTCATCATTATACTTCTTAATTATATTACTTTATATACAGCTTTGCTCAATGTCACATATTCAGTCTCATTAGAGCTTAAGAATACATAGAGTTACTTACTTAATTATTATGAAATTAATATATTCTTCAATTTAAAGATATAACTGAATGTAGATTTATAATTATCATTTAACAGACTGACTTAATTGAAATCTGTATATTTAACTGATATGTATATTATATTCAGAAATTCATTCTCAGATCTCTCATCATCATTCTTTATATAGAATATATCAATCTTATATATTTCTTTCAAATATTAAATAATATGTAATAGAGTCTTTCATATTTTAGAGATGAGAGCAGTGTTCTTCTATATCAGTAGAGATACTATATAAATAATATTCAGTCACAGCTTGATAGCTAAGTATTACAGATATCTAACAGTATACTGAAATTATCACTTTATAAAACTACTTTCTTTTTTAAAGATGAGAGAGTTATCTAGATATAGATTCTTATTCATAAGTATACAGATAGCAGTTATATTATCTAGATAAAAATCTTCTATCAATTCATTGATATAATATTAAAGTATTAATTTGACTTTATTCTTTATATATTTCACTTTCATTTCTAGATATTTTATAAATTTCTTTAAGTCTTTGATCTCTAGTTTTTACTGTAAAATGTTAATAAGTTAATCAGTATTCTTCAGAGTATCTGCAAAGATATGAAGATTGTTAATATATATAATTATATACAGGTGTTTTCAGGCTGAATGCTTTCAAAGAGCAGAGTTATAAGAACTCAGACTGAAGTCATTTTCTCACAGTATAGCTATTAAGTAGTTATATTATATTTTAACAGCTGAATTCAATTTATATAGAGATTCTTCAACTGTATAGATAAGTATATACGGAGTTTCTTATTCAAAGTCTGTGAGATATCTTATATAGACTGTTTTGTCTAATCTATTATATAGATATATTATTACTATATTTACTTACTGTAGAATTCAATCATACTTTACAGTAATTATAAACATCATTTAATTTATTATATCTGTAATTACAGAGATATAAGTCTTCTGATAAGTGTCTGTCTTCAATTAGTTATTATATATAACTTATTAAGATTTTTATAATATATCATTCTTATCAGTATTGAGATTATCAGAGTAGTTCTTTTCAATAAATACTCAGTAATCAGATATCACTGATTCATTATATAAGATATCAGAATATGAAATAAGTTGTAATGTAACAGAATCAAAGCAGTGACTAGTCAGTGATATCATGTAGAGATAGTTGTTTAAGAAGCTGTATAAGTAAGCTTGACTATCTTACTTAAATAGTGAGCTTGTAAACTACAGAGTTATTATGAGAATATCACAGATATAATACTTAGTATACTAAGAAGATTATATAAGATACTGTCAGATCACGTGATCTGGCTTACTAATTCTTTCACTATATAACTTTTCACAAAGCTAGCAACCTTTCAATCACACAAGCTTTACATCTTTCACAGGTTATGAGACCTGTTTTGTGTAAAATCACTGCCAATTTGAGATTCCTTGTCAATATACTCATTATTTGAACTACTGCTTCATTCAATACACTCTTCAGAAGTTAAAATTATCTTATTCTATCAGTATTGATATGTTTGAGATCTTGATGATCAATAATACTACTGCTCACTTAAAAAAGAGGCTTGCAGAAAATGCATCACACTTGTAAAAAAGTAAGAAAAGAGAATGATATTAGCAAGGATTCAATAAATGAATATCAAGATGACAGATTCAATATGATCTTGCTTACATACACATTCGCGATCTTGTATTCTTTTCACTGAGTCAGTTGCAGTTGATGATGATGATAATGATTCTTCACACTTATACTCTGTCAGTAAACATTCTTCTGAAGCTTTTGAAAGCTTTATTGATGAACACTCTGAAACACTCTCTCAATTCAAAGCTGGTTTGAATACAGCTTCTGACACAGTCAGGCCAGCCTCTTAATCTACTCAACAGCTTGATGCTGATTCTCTTGATGAGAATAATGAACACTCAGATGTCTATTATTCGGGCGAGGCAATATCAGATCAACAGATGAAGCATCTTAAGATAATACTTGAGATGAACAAGAAGAAGCAAAGAGTTCTAAAACTCAAACTACAACTGAAAAAACTCTGTTAACAGAGATTCTCATTCTCTATAAATCAATCACAGAATGTCAACAATCATTCTGTTATTACATCAACAGCCTGTACAGTCACATGGAATTCTAATCTCGGTGAAAGGTTGGAATTCAATCTTTATGAACTGAATAGTCATGTTGGCAAGGCAATCTCTCAATTCAAGAAAGATATCAAGAATACTGTGAGATTAAACAGTCTAACTGACACATTCAATTACATCACATGAAGCATCTTCATGAAATTGAAACTGGTTGATACACAGTGTTGATATATAATAGAGAAATGACAGACTCAGAACCCTCTATAAAAAGATAATAAGTGAGCATCATTCTGAGACATCAGAAACTGATGACTCTACACATTCATCTTGAACTTCTTGAGTGCAGGTGTCAGATCACATTTCTTCAAATATGATGAAAATTGAATCACTTATACTCTATGAAATGCAATTGAACAGAAATACTCTGTTCTTAAAACACAGTTATGCTGTGAGACAGTTCTGAAATTCATGTCTCTTGATAACACACAGATCACTAATCTACACACATTCTTTAATAAGTTCTGATCTGTCATTATGAAATTGAAGATATTGAATGCTTTCTCTTCACATGCATGAATATTTAATACCTTCTACTCAGTTCTACTCAACAATTGAAGGAATTATGTTCAGAAGAAGATAGAGAAGATACAGGATTTCAAATTCACAGCTGTAATATTGAATGTTAATCTTCTCATGAAGGAAATTCATTCGCGGCTTGATTCTTCAAAAGATAAAAAGAATCTGCAGAATATAGATTCTGCGGCTAATACAGCTACAACAGCTACAACAGCCACAACAACTACCAGCAACAATACATTGAATCCGGCCCGTGAAGGCTGTACTGAACATGATTGTGACAGTTCACAAGAGAGCTTCTGAAATCATCAGAGATTGGGAAATTCATCTACATATTCTGATTGTGAGAGATCTCACTTTGACATCTGTTGATTGACTAATTCAGAGAGTGCTCTGAATAATTGAAGAATAAACAATGCTGTGAGGATAAAGAAATTCAAGAAAAAGAAGAAAAAGAACAATAGTGAGAGTAGAACTCAACTATTTATTACAGATGAATCAGAGACCTATCAGATGACAAATCTTGCAGAGGTTATCAATGTGTCAGCCTGTTTCATAAAACCTCACAAGAATTCCCTGACTATATAAGATAGTAGCGCCGGATGCCACATAGCAAGTGATAGATCATGATTTTCAGAACTTATAGCAATCAATGATTCAACAGTTCAAGTTATTAACAAGGTTATTATGAAGATTCAGAGTGTCAGCACTGCATTCATTCTGATAAGTGAAAGATTAATAGAATTCAATCATGTATACTACATATCAGAACTATCTGCAAATCTGATCTCTGCTGAGCTTATAAAATGTCAGAGCTATATTCACTGTGATATACAAGTTAATGCTGAGAACTACTTTGAGTTTCTATTATCTATCAACAGTGATATCTTCTACATCAATCTGTCTCGCAATAATATTTACATTCTATTCAACAGCTCACTGACATTTCATGAGATAATGAATAACTTAATGTATGAAGTAGTGGCATATATGACTGTTCTGAAATCAAAGACAATCTCAACAGATTATGATTCAAATGCAGAGTCTTTGAGATCTTTCAGCTGTGAGAAGATTGAACAGTTAATCAACTCTAAGAATTCAGATAATGATTTCTTTATTATCTCATTTTCATCTCAATTATCTGCAGTTCTTCTGAAACAGCTTTCAATAGATAAGTAGCATTGTCAACTTGATTATATCAGTGAAAATAGTATATTAAAATTGATTAGAGATCTGTAATTTAATATTATCATTATCAGTCTGAAGAAATTATTGTTCTGTATCACATGTATTAAGTCTAAACAGAAACACACTTTCTACAAGGATTTCACATCATGTCATGCTATCTGCAAGGTCTTGAAGATTTGAGTGAATATCTTCAGTGATAATGAGACTCTTGAAATCAAGAATGATATATCATCTTACACTGGTAAGAAGCTTGTAATAATGATAACAGATAATGTCATCTGTATGAGATGAACATTTCTATTGAAATGCAAGAAGAAGATGTTGAGATATCTACAGATCTTCAATCAATTCATCAAGAATCTGCTGAGACATGGCATTGCAATCATTCACTCAGATTGTGAAGAATTGAATTCAAATGCAGTCACAGCATACATGCTCAGTGAAGATATAAAATGAGAGCTGACTCTCTCTCATACTTCACAGTAAGATAAAGTATCTGAACAATTGATTGATTTAATCATTGAGAAGTTTCAATCACTATTAATAGACTCTTTAGCTCTGAAAAAGATGTGAGATGAGACAGTTATTGCAGTTACAGAGCTGCTTAACCTTATATCAATCTTAACAATATTGTATAAGAACTCTGAAAATACAAAGCTGATTACACTGTATAAGGTCTGACTTGAAGCTCTATCTTCTATACACAGTATTCACTGATGAGGTTGCAAAGCATTCTTGAAGATAGTTCTCAATCTCATCAATAAGATGGCTTTTCATTTCAAAGAGTTGATTTTTATGAGATATAATGATTTTATTAATTATAGATTGGTGAACTTCTTCAATAAGTGTTTATACATATCAAAAGACATCATCTTTCAGAAGAATCTTCATCTTGCTGATTCATTGATATTGACTACAACACATAATCTGAAGATTCTACTTAATACAGTCTGTAAAGTGACTGCAGTGATTTCTTCAGTGATATCAAGCCTACTCACTGCAGCTTGTCAAGAGACTGCAGTGATTTCTGATCTATTCATTGATAAGAAAATTCAATCTGAGTGTTCATTATTTCTTATACTCACTAATAATTGATGAATTGACTATGATATCTTCATGAGAATATCTATCTTTTTAGTACAGAATACACTGAACTTCTCAGAATTCACAGTTGAATTGAATGATTCTCTGACATCTATAAGAAATATCACTACAGTGAGGAAAGCTTCAGTGAGAGACAGTCTTGAAAATCTACTCATCAATCTCAAGATTGCTGCACTTCTGATTCTAAAAAACCTCACACATATCAAAGCTTTCATGAAATGAAAGTATTATTATAAGATCTGTGTTAAAGAGATCAACTGTTTAAAACAGATAGAGATCTGATAACTGATTGAGAGAACATCACAAATGAGTGTTCTTCACAGTCAATGAGTATTTGACAAAAAGTTCAATAATATAAGTGATGTTATCTGCTATAAGACTCACTAAGTTGTCTGCAGAAATCTTCAATAGAAGAGAGTTAATTACTTAAGAATCTTTGCACCTGTTGTCTCTGCATTCATCTCACAAGCTCTTATAACAATCTTAGCATTCTGAGGATGATATGTTCTGCAGATTGATATAATGACTGTCTTTTTGAACACTTAACTATCTGCTGATGAATAGATATATATGAATCAACTCACAGAATTCTGTGAAGACTGTGATGATCTTGTGTGTGAGTTGATGCAGAGACTCTAAAGTCTTAAGTAAGCAGCACTCTTATAATATGAGAAGCTGTGAAAGATGCTATTACACTCAGACTTTCATATCAGTCTCTATAATACTGAACTATTTATTCATAATAAAAGACAGGTCTATATAATTATCTATGTAAATGATATCTGTCTCTACAGCCTGAAAATTGAAGATCTGAACTGAGTCAAAGCTGAAATTGCTGCTAATTATGAGATCAAGAATGTAGAGAATTTCAACTGCTATCTTGAAATAAAGATTGATAGAGATTCAACTTCATTAATATTATCTCAATTTCTCTTTATAAGAAATCTTCTGAAGAAGTTCTCAATAAATGACTGTTATTCTACATTTACTTCTATGAAGAAGAATGTCAATTTCATAAATGATAATAAGAAACTGATTGTATACACAGCAGAATTTATTCTACAGTTCTATCAATTCAGTATTGAATCTCTGCAATATCTAATATTCAATACATGTTCTGATATGAGCTTCATTGCAGAATTTCTTGAACAATTCAGCTCTCAGTCTACATTAAAGAACTGAGCTGCATACAAGTGTACACTTCAATATCTACAGAGTTCAATCAATGAGAGTATAACCTATCACAGAGGTGCTGAAATTGAATCTGTAGCATACACAGATGCTGATTGAGCCGGTAGAGATTCAGAATTCTGTTCAATCACCAGTTATATCATCTACATGACAGGTGGCCTCATTGCATGACAGAGCTGCTGGTAAACAGAGGTCTTCAAGTCATTAACAAAGGCCGAATATATTGTATTCTCTCAGGTTGCATATGAGCTTGTCTGTCTCTGAGAGCTTCTAGAAGACACTGAATTCATCTCATTCTGCCTCAACAATCTGAATGCTGATGATTACCTCATTTCCATCACAGTCAATGATCTGGCTTATATAATTCATGCTGATAATAAGTCTGCCATAGAGCTATTCTCTTCCAAAGCAATTCCACACTGCTTGAAGCATATAGAGGTCTGTTTCCACATTCTTCGAGATCTTGTCTGTAAGAATGAGATATCTATCTGATATGTTCCATCTGCGGAGAATGCGGCAGATGAGCTTACTAAATCACTTGAAATGTTGAAATATACATATTGGAAGAAGATTATGAAGATGAAGAGATAGTGGAATAAAAAATGATGTATATTATAACTGGTTTTTCATTACTTCATATTTTCCAGTCATTTTTTATATCTGTACTTGATTTAAAGGCGAATTTTATATATAGCATTGTGTATAGTTACTCTGATGAGTGGAGATGTCAGATCATGTGATCTGGCTTACTAATTCTTTCATTATATAACTTTTCACAAAGCTAGTAACCTTTCAATCACACAAGCTTTACATCTTTCACAGATACATAGTAACTCTTTTATATATTTCAGTAGAAGAAAAACAAATCACTGACTTCTTTAATAAGAAGTCAGTATCTAGCTATTCTATATAAATAATAAGTGAATACTCTTCTCTTATTTCATAAGTAAGAATAGTCAGAGTGATATCTCAGTAGTATTTTATTATTAAGAAAGAGTAATCTACTAATCTTGTATAAAAGTAAGATTCTTATATCTATCAATCAGATCTTTCTATGATATATCTGAATAATATTATAGAGTGATTGAAAATCAGTTCAGATAAGATAAAATTATACATATAAAAGTAATAAGCTATGTGAAACTATAACAGAGTCTTGATATAGTTAGAAGTATAATAATATTCTCTTCTTTAAGAGTATAGTCTCTATACTCTTAAAATTACTAAATTAGAAATTATCTTTGTTATATAGCAACAGTTGTCAACTGATTGATAGTGTGTGTGCTATATATAATATAAAGAAATAGATGAGTTTTTCTGCTGACTGTGTAGATCTTTCTTTACTCATCTTCATTTAAATCAAGTATATAATAAGTGAGTTTCTTATATATTAATTTAAGATGAAGAAAACATAGTTAATAAGTGACTTATAGATCTCTCATCATATTTCATTCTATATATAAAATTCTCTACAAAAGTAATGTGTTTTTTAGAGACAAAGCTAACAATAGTAACAGGATTTTTTGAATAGATTCTTCTCTCTGTAAAATATTTTTCTTTCTTCTCTCTCAATTGTAACAGTGAGTGTATGAGAGTATTATTCTTGAAGAATAATAAAGAACTTATTCTGACATTTTCTAGTGAATAAACATCTTCATGATGTGGCTGCGGCCTTCATGACTGTCAAGAAAGCCAGATTGAAGGTAGAGACAGTGATATCAATGAGCTGTGAGAGCACTGCTCTTATTATTACATCTTCTTCTTCTTCTGCATCTCTTACAGCCGCGGCAGTAGTAGCTGCATCTTGCAGTGAGATGTTATTTCTTCTGTCAGCTGATTTGTCTGTATTCAGTTCATTCTCTGCCTCTCTTACTACTGTTGCAATGCTGTCTCTCTTCTCAATCAACACAGTGATGTATAACCTCATGTGATCATTTGAAGAGAACTTCAGAGAGAGCTTGATTCTGAAAACAGTGACTCTGAGAAGTTCAATCTATAGTTTCTCTCTCACAGCATATCTGAGCTCTGCTTGACATACTGCTGAGTTGAGTTCATAAAGTTCTGCAGTTTCTTTGTCTTCTCTCTGTGAGAAGGCTTCAGTGCAGTCTCTGACTAACACTGTTACTTATCTACACTGCACTAAACAGCTGAAGAAGAAGAGGATTTTATATATCTACTTCTTCTCTTACTTCTGTTATTTTTATTATATCTGTAATAATGACTTCTATCTCTCTGTAAGTATTATCTACTCTATAAGAAAGTATCATATCAGCTCTGATAAGAAGCTCAGATGCTTAAGCAGTACAGAGTAAGAGTCTCAGAGCTTTAAGTATTGATAGATTCTATTAAGACTGAGAAGATTCTTCTTACTTCTCTGTAAAAGAAGATGAAAGTATGAGTCACTGAGATGAAAAAACACCTCAGAATGACTGATCTTAAAAAGAGATTAGTCAGTACTACTGTTAAAAGTATCATAGAGATTAATTACTGATTAAAGAGAATCTTACTTCAGTTAAAACAGATAACTGAGATACTTTATAAGTTGATAAGTTGATTATTATTATTATTATTATTATTATTATTATTATTCTTCAATTATAGATGTATGCAGTCAGAGACTATGATATCTATTTGAGAATCTTTAGTTCTCAGGGTTTTTTCTATATCTATAGAGTCAACTATTATACACTTATCGATTTCAGATATGTAAAATCAGAAAATTCCAGCTCAGAATACAAAAACTGTTTACAAATTACAGTATTTCAACACCTATTAATACATTGAAATCATTTGAAAATATCATGACAAAGGAAAAGAGAACATAGTCTTAAAGATAGACACATTAAATAGATAGATAAAAAAGAACAGAAAGAAACAAGCACAGTAAAGAGAGACTATAACAAAATAAAATTATTAAAAGATAGTGTATAGCTGTTTTAACAGACTATATCTAATCAATTTTCATCTCTTCATATTCAGATACTTCGGAGTTGAGTCATTTTCTTATAGCTGCTTAAGTTTCTGATAGAAAGTTTATTAAGTATTTAAATTCTATCTCAGTTGAGAATAAGAACCTTATATTTAATTAATTTAAATCATACTTCTTCTTTAATCTGACTCTGAGATTATTGTATAATGCTCAATGCATTATAATATACTTAGAATTCTCATTTATATTGCAGAATGAGCACTCTGTTGAATCAAATCTATCATCAAATCTTTTGTATATAGGATTTGAAATACCCATGTCCTAGTTTTAGCTGAATTATAAATGAGAATATTTTCTTTTTACATTTAATTGAACAAGATTTTCACTTTGATTTTATCTCAAATCTTGAATAATGTATGCTCTTCTTTTGTTTCTGTCAGCTTTCATTTTACTTATTTAAACAAGATTCTTTTATCTTTCTCTTTATGAAAGATCAGGACACTGTTTTTTAAATAGATCTGCTTAATTCTGAACTCTTTTTTACAGCTGAATCAGTCAATTCATTGTCATGAATATTCATATGAGCAGGAACTCAATACAGATGAATTATCAGTTTAGATATTCTTCTCTTTCAAATCTTTAAAACAGAGTTTAAAATCAGATCAAGATTCATTTAATCATTATAAATCTGACTATTTCTAAGTCTTTTTAAAGTAGCTTGACTATCAGAGAATATTCATGTCTCTTTCAAACTATTTTCTCTTTTATAAGATTTTATTTTAATGAGTTTGAAAGCTTTCACTATTATAAATAGTTCAGCATCAAAGCCTTCAGATTCACAGTCTAAATTTTAGAAATCTGAGATAAAATTGATATTATCTTCAGTATAAGCAATATCTGCACCTAATCTATTCAAATTCTTATTTTTTAAGTCATCAGAGTAAATCAGAATAGAATCTTTTATATTAATTATAGAGATCTTTTTCAAATACTGTTCATATTCTCTCTCTTTAGATAGTTCACTTATTTACAAGTCTATGAGAGATTTCAGCTTTTCTCTTCAGAGAGATATCTTCTCATGATCAATTTTCTCAACATTTAATGAAGAAAATTGATTCTTAATAAGTGAACATAGTCTATACAGTTGAGAGAGTATTTTCTTTAAAGCATTATTCTCATTTCAATCAAGAAATCTATTTCAATTCAGTTCATTTCCTGAGTTAACTGATGAAAATGAAGAAGAGACTCTTTCTCTAATTATATGATTTAAGCTCATCTTTATAACTCTCAGAGCATAGTTCATACAGGCTTTTTCAAATTGAATAGTAGGAGATGGAATTGAGGCTTCAATTTTCATTGCTTTAATAGAAGATGATTTGAATACTCTCAGAATTCTTCTCAAAGCTCTGTTTTATAGACTTTGAAACAGTTCAGTGAAGTTATCTTGATTATTTCATTAAACTTGAACTTCATAATCAGCTACTGATGTAATACAGGCTATGTATAACTGTCTCATAGCCTGAAAAGATAGACCTCTCTCAGTATTTGATAGTCTGATTATACTATTCAGTAGTCTCTCTGTCTTGATGATTTTTTGTTGAATATGATATTTAAAATTCATCTTGAAGTTTAACCATACTCCTAGTCATTTGACATTCAAACTGGGTTTAATCTCTTTATTCAGAAGAGTTAGACTTAGTTCTTCCTTATTAAATCTAGAAAAAAAGTGAATTAACTCAGTTTTATTCATATCAAATTGAATTAGATTGATATCTGCTCTAACAAAGATTTTCTTTGCTGCTTTCTCAATTACTTCTAAATTCTCTTTGATTGTCTTTGAACTGTAGAGTAGATCAATATCATCTACATGACTTAAAGATCTCACTATTTTCATCTCTCTATTCTTGAATAAATATGCAGTATATATTGCAAATAAATCAGATAAGATTGAAGATTCTTGTGATACTTCTATTTTTATCTCAGTTTTATCTTGTTTTCTTTCATCAAAGAATAGTTGTATAATTCTTTTAGACATGAAATAATCAACTCATTTTATTAGAAAAAGTGACAGTTTTAACATCTTCAAAGTTTGAATCATCTTAGACTTTGAAACATGATCAAATATATCTTTTATATCAATAAAAACTGCAGTTGAGACCAGGTCTTCATGCTTTGCTACTTGAATATTATGAATAACTGAGAGAACAGTGTCAATTGCAGAACATTGTTTTCTATCTTTCATTTATTCATTAAATAGAAGAGAATCACTAATAGAGCTTATAAAAGATAATCTAGTAGCTAATATCTTTTCTAGAACTTTTCTCAAACAGTTCAACAGAGATATTACTCTATATAACTTAGAAACTGAAGCTTTTCTATTAGATTTTATAAGAATTACTTCAGTAGCTTCTCTTCAGCATTCAGAATGATAATCATTTTTTAAGAGATTGAAAAAGAGCTCAAAATATTCATTCTTCAAGTAGAAATATGTGTTTTAAATAATTAAATGATTAATTGAATCAGACCCTGCAGCAGTTTTAATTGAACTTAAGAATATTACTGACTCTAGTTCATCACCTGTAAGCTCAGATCATTCCCAGTTATTTTCATCAATATATTCATGAAATGACATATTCTTCTATTCTAAATGTAATGAGTTTTGAAAGAGAATTCTTATAAAAGCTTGACATTTTTCCTCAAAAGAGTTTGCTGTATACAATTCATTCTGAAATTCATATTCTAAGATTGAAAGCTTTGCTACACTTCTTGTTTTAGTATAGTTAAAGACTTTAAAAACTTCTTTTTCTTATACTTCTTTAAGAAATTTGTTTCAGTAATCTGTTTTGACTTTTTTAATATCTGAAAAATATTCATTTTGCATAGCTTTGAACTCTTTATCAGATATTAAGTTATTCTTTCACTCTCTTTTAGCAGTGACTAATTGCTTTCTTTTAGAAGTGATATTCTTATTTCATCAAGATTTGAAAAACTCAGAAGACTTTTTCTTTGAAATATTTTCTTCAATACTTGTTAGAAGAATAGATGTAATCAGCTTTGCTCTATTCTCAAGCATTTCATTTGAAATATCTTGACTTTGATTTCAATAAAGCTCACTCTATCTTTCAGATTTCAGCTGTTTTACTCTTTCTTCAACTACTTTTCAATCAGCTTTTTCAAAGTTATACTGATTAGAGAGAAGAGAATTTTCACTTCTTTGTTTTTCACTCAGTTCAATATCAAATTGAATGATCTCATGATCTGATTCTGAGGTTTCATTTAAATCAATAAATCAGTTTATAAGTCTTTTTTCAATTAGATTTTGTAATATGAAAGTTAGATCTATAATAGATTTTTATTTCATGTCTTTTCTAAAGAATGTTTATTAATCAGACTTGTTAACTAAATCTATTGAATGTTCAAAAGTTCATTCAATCAGTTTATCTGCTCTTACTGCTCTTGTGCACTCTGAGTTCTATCAGAGATAATGTGCATTGAAGTCTTCTGTAATTATAGAGTTTTTTAAGAAAGTTATATTCAAAAATCCTCTATTAATTGTTCAGGTATTGTTGTTTTCTTTCAGTAACTTTTCATTATAGATATTTATAAGTTGAATAGTATCAAACTCATTCTCTTTATCTATAATATCACTCACTAGAATGTCAGAGTCAGATATGATATCAAATCTCAAATTAAATTAATATCTTAATCTTTTTCTCTCATAGATCACTACTCTTGATTTTATCTCAGATTTTTCAGAAAGAAAGCAGTAATAGCTTAAATGAGAAATGATGTACTTTTGCTCAGTATCAAAGTTTGGTTCTTGAAGAAGTACAAAGTTAACTTTTTATTCAAATGCAATCTGAAGAGAACAATAAATGCAATTTGAGTTTCTATTCACATTATTTTGAATAAATGTGATTTTTGAAGAGTTTTTAAACTTTTTTTATTGTTTTTGTTGTATATTCATTTTCTTGTAGCTGCTTGAGTTTCTGATAGAA